AAAAAAGTCAGAATTCTAAGAAAAAAGTCAGAATTCTGAGATTAAAGTCAGAATTCTGAGAAAAAAGTCAGAATTCTGACTTTTTCCCCATACTAAACTGAAATAAAATTTACAAATCAGTTAACTTTTTTTTCTTTTCCCTGTGGCCCTAATCCTCTTCTGTACATTAATGAGCAGATTGCTTGTTCTACAAGCAGTTGACAGTCCAATTAAATACAAGATGGGATTCTAAGTAATGGGAATGAGGTATAAATGATGCAAAATATTTAAGAAAAAGCACTTATAGCCTTAAATAATAGAATATCTAATCTAATAAACCCAATCATATTTATAGAGCACTTTACAAAATTAACATGTTTCTAAGTAGCCTATTTTTAATTGCTAAAACAAAGAGTAAAAAAATAAAATGAAACATGAGAATGCTTAATTTGTCTGTTGTTTACATTCACATATCCTCGATCAATTAGTTTACACAATTTGGCTGTCAGAATATAATCTGCACATTAATGAAGGAACACACACAAAATAAGGTTTGCAATCGCTGTCTGCTGAATTTCAGATGCAAATGAATTTTCATCTTCTGTGAAGATCTGCTCTGTGCATTCAAACACACAATGATTTCCACAAACACTGTGATTTGATCATTTGGGAATATGGCAAGAAAAAAATGCATTATGAAATACAGATATGTGAAGGTCCTATCAAATAAATACATGAAATATGTAGATATATAACATTTTGGATGGTACATTAGATTTTAATCAGTTCAAATATTACAGTAAATATACAATTGAATCTTAAAATGCCTAATTTAAAGTGATGAAATAATTTCTATTTTGAAAATAAATGTATTTATAAGGTAATGTAATAAATTTACTCCCTCTATATATATTTATATTACTATAAAGTGAAAAATGTATATGTATTTTTACAGTATCTCTTTGCTGCCTTTGCAAGAACCAAGGATCAAGACTCTAAAAAGACAACCCTGAACCCCACAATCCTCTAACTTCCCCCTAGCTATTATCTGCAAGATCTTTAGTAAGCAAGGTTCAAAATTCAACAAGTCATCTTCAAGACCCCTGTTTACTTGTGTATCCATTCCAGAACCCCTGGCTTTCCGCATCGCCATTTCCACCCTGACGTGAATCACCGTTGCATATTTATTTATGCTGTATCATTAAACTTCCTAACTGTAATTTTTTGTCTTCTGAGAGTCAGTTCTGCATGTGGGTAAGAAGAATTAACAAAACCATGTCAGATTCTCTGCTTTTACAGTTTTCCAAGATTTCCGAAAATCACTTTATGAGCAGAATGGGAAATATGATTGATAAACACAAACTACTTTCTGAAAGTCAGTATGACGATTTAGATCAAAGAGATCCACAGCGTTGGCAGCCCTGGAATTGATAGAGATAATTCACCAGCTCCCAAGATAAGGAGACATTTACAACTGCTCTGTTTGTTGAGATAAAAAAATCACTTGACCCAACTGATCACCCTATGAATTCCTGATACATATTTATCAGGAAATTAAAGCATTCTAGAGCACATGGTTGCTTCTGGAGTGGATGGAGAGCTAAATACTCTAAGTAGCAGATAGAAATTTGTGAAGATAGGAGATTATCAGTCATCATGTCTGGACACTGCTCGTGATATCCCCCAAGACACTTTTGTGACCCATAATTGTTTATTTTCTACATAAATTACACATGTAAGGTTTTGAATATAGTACACGTTTTATTTGCAGTTGATAAAAATATTTTTTGTACAAGTGAGAGAATACGGCAGCTCTTGAAAGATACCACAGCAGAGATGAATAAGCTCAAAAGCTGGGTGGTCAAAAACTATTTGTACTTGAATTTGGAAAAAACTACCTTCAATGTCTTCTGGAAATTATAAAGAAAATATAGATGTAAATGTCTTAATAAATGTGGTAAAAACTAAATGAATAAATCTGCTGGAAGCCTTACATCAAATATGTTCAAACTAAACTCTCTAGAAGCATTGCAATTCTTAATAAAGAACTTGTTCCTGTATTTTTACTCATGTTGTCCTCTGCTTATCTGGGACATGGTCCCAGGGGCAGCGGTCTCAGCACATACACCCAGACTTCACTCTCTCCACCTTTTCCAGCTCTGCTCGGGGTAGCCAAAGTGCTCTTAGGCCAGTCAAGATAGGCTCTCAAGATAATTTGAGAGCTTTGCCAGACCGCCTTTGGCTGTACCTAGAAATCCTGTTCATGAAAGTTCTGATTATGAACAGGAGCAGCAACAGAGGACAGCCCTGCCAGAATACAACAAACGCAGGGAGCAAGTCCAACTTCAAAATAGCAATGCACACCACACTTCTGCTCTGCTTGTACAGAGACGAGGTGGCCCCTAGTAAAGGGTCCCCGACTCCCTAATTCTAGATTAGCCCCCACTGGGCACCAACTGGAAAACGACACTGCTCCTCCACAAGCTAAGGTTTGACAATCAGCTGGACTCCCTTCTCCAGCACCCTGGCATAGACTTTCCTATGGAGACTGAGAAATATGATCCCCTTAGGTCTGAAAATGCTCACTGATCCACCACCCTATTCTGTCAGTTCAGGGGCATTGTCCCTGACTTTTTTTTTTATTTTTTTTTTTAAGAAGATATCAGGTTGCATTCTGCACAGCTAACAGCAGATGGCGCCAAGTCCTCTGACTGAAAGTAGAGGCAAAGAAGAAGAAGAGGCAGCGCTCATGTGTGACGCTAAAGATATGCGCAGGGACATTCGCTCACACGTGTTGTTTTCATGAGTTTGGATCAGTCGTGACTTTTCTGCATCAGTTCAGTTTTAACCCACCGATTCCAAGATGGGGAAGAAGTCAAAAGTCGGAAAGACGAGGAAAGATAAATTCTACCATCTTGCAAAAGAAACAGGTAACGTTGCGTTAGAGAGGAAAACAGTCGGCTACTTTTAGCTACATGTTCTGTATTAGCATTGGCTCCCAGTAAAGCCTTACATAAAAACAGTAAACATGAACATATTTCTTTGTTGCGGCCTTCAGGTTATCGATCTCGGTCTTCCTTCAAACTCATCCAGTTAAACCGTAAATTCCAGTTTCTGCAAAAAGCGAGAGCTTTGGTGGATCTATGTGCTGCTCCTGGAGGATGGTGAGCCTGTTCATTATTAGTCTCTTATCTACAGTCTTAAACATCATTAATTTAACATTATTTATTAATGTAACGTTTTTTACACATGATTTTGGAACCTGTGACAAGTTTATGCTTACATTGGTTTAGATGTAACTATTTATTATATGTTCATAGGTGATAATAAACACCTCAAGTTAACATTTTATAGGTTGTATTGTTGTTTATAGGTCATATTGTAGGTTTAGCAAACTTTTAACATAAGAGCATAATATTGCATCTAGTAAAATGTATAAAACTGAATAATCTCACTAATAATGATTTACTATTTTCTATCTAGGTTACAGGTAGCATCTAAGTTTATGCCTGTTTCAAGTCTGATCATTGGTGAGTTAAGTGTTACAACTCTTATATCCAATAAGGGAAATGTGTCTTAAAGGTTTTCATTTTTAATTAATTGTTTTGATGTTTTGTGTTCCTGTCAGGTGTGGACTTGGTCCCCATTAAACCCATTCCTAGCGTGGTGACTCTGCAAGAAGACATCACAACAGAAAAATGCCGACAGGTGAGGATCCCTTTGAGTTCATTTCACTTCTGAACAACTTGTAATGTACAGCTGGAAGTCACCGTTTGCTGAGAAACTGTCAGACTGTGTCAGGGAAACTGGAGTCTGTTTGTCTGAGGTGCCTTTTGTTTCACATTCAGGCTCTTCGCAAGGAGCTTCAAACTTGGAAAGCAGACGTGGTGTTAAACGACGGAGCTCCAAACGTGGGAACCAATTGGCAACATGATGCCTTTTCTCAGGGTAAATATTTCTGTAAGCCAATGATATGATGCCGTTTTGTTGCTGTTGAACTGGGAAAAAATAATCTATTTTCCTCCTTAGCTCATCTGACCCTCATGGCTTTGAAGTTGGCCTGTGAGTTTCTGACCAAAGGGGGCACTTTCATCACTAAAGTTTTCCGCTCCAAAGATTATCAACCTCTTCTTTGGATCTTCCAGCAGTTTTTCAAAAAGGTGCAGGCCACCAAGCCTCAAGCATCCAGAAATGAGTCGGCAGAAATCTTTGTTGTCTGCCAAGGTAGGAAGCAGCTACAGATGCAACTAAATATTATTTCTTAGGTGATTTTTGTTTGTATTTTTATCAATAGGGTGCACCTCGACAGCCTTCTCATCTAATCTAACGTTCTGTAAACAGTCTAAAATATTCAGACTGATGGCTAATCTTGGGTTGAGTTACTTTATGACATGATTTAAAGAACATTCTAATTTTGTTCAGACCAATGAGTGTCTATGAAAATATGTGTACACACATGTAACAGGTTTTTCTTTTGATTAGGTTATGTTGCCCCTGACAAAATCGACAATAAGTTTTTTGACCCCAAGCATGCCTTCAAAGAGGTGGAAGTACAGGCTAAGACTGTGAAGGAGCTGGTTCCTGTCAAGAAGCCAAAGGCAAGCCCAGTTTACACTTTCATTCATTTTCATTCAACTAAGTAACCATTATTTACTGTTTATGTGGCAAATCTGTAATATAAAGGGAAGCTGATCATCCGTGATGTTTTATCTGAAACTGACCAAGCAGTCTATGCATTACAGGCGGAGGGATACACGGATGGCGATTTGACACTTTATCATTCTTTTACTGTGACCGCCTTTCTGAAGGCCGAAAACCCCGTCGACTTTCTGGGAAAAGCCAGCGAGGTAAGATAATTAACTTCAGTCTCACCACATGTGGATAAATAGTATTATAACCTACAGTATATAACAGTAACAGTTAAATACTATATAAAACTTTTAGAAAATGAATTTTACTTCCACTGTTTTTGTGTGACAATAACAGTTTCCAGATGTTTTTATATTTTACAAAAGAAGCATCTAAATTACCAGATGTTTGTCCCAGACAAATTAAAATCCCTTGCTCAGAATCGGTGAACAAACATACCTGTCAACAGGTGCAGAAGTCTGACTCAACATTTCCTTTCAAACACAACTGTAGTTTTAAACTGGATTATTGGTTTACAAATCGTTCTTGGGTTCGATTCAAGCGTGTTAGAGCTGCTTCTAATGATATATGATCACATTCTATGCTTTTGATTTAAATTTGGTGTCAGGCTGCGGTCCAGACTGAAAAAATCCCGGTTCTTTAAATCAAGAAGCAGGGCTGATCTAAATGGCAAAATGTTTTCAAAAAGCCCTTTAATGCTAGTTCTGAGGCTAACTTAAATGCTTTACCTATGGGCCCAAGTTTATAATAAATTCATCTATAGGTATGTTTTTATATCAAGGTCTAGAATGCCCTTAAAGTTTTTATGATTTCCTAGAAGGTTGAATTATATGCTGTATATCCAGTGGGTATGGAAAGTATTCAGACCACTTTACTTTTTCACTCATTGTTTCATTGCAGCCATTTGGTAAAATCCAAAAAGTTCATTTTATTTCGCATTTATGTTACACTCAGCTCCATATCCTAACAAAAAAACAGAAATGTAGATTTTTTTGGAAAATTTATAGAAAAACTGAAATATCAAATGGACATAAGTTTTCAGACTCTATGCTTTGACTCATATTTAACTCACATGATGTCCATTTCTTCTCTTTGAGATGGTTCTGCTGCTTCATTAGAGTCCAGCTATCAGGGTTTCCGCGGGTCATTAAAAATCATTAAATTATTATTTTTTAATTTAAGGCCTTAATTGGCATTAAAATTAATTAAATTTGATAACCGTGGCGTTAAAATGGCTTCGGAAAAGAAGCTTGAGACAGAGAAGGCTAGAGAATGGGGGGGAAAATGCAAATATACATATATATGCCATCAACAAGTACCAATATATGGGTACTTGTTGATGGCATTAAGATTATTTCTAAGAGCATGAAAAAGCATTAAATAAGAGTTACTCATCCATGTATAAACCCTGAGCTGTGTTTAATTAGACTGATTGGACTTGAATAGGAAAGGCACACCTGTCAATATAAGACCTTACAGCTCACAGTGCTTGTCGGAGCAAATGAGAATCATGAGCTTGAAGGAACTGCCCAAGGAGCTCAGAGAAAGAACTGTGGCAAGGCACAGATCTGGTCAAGGTTACAAAACAATTTCTGCAGCACTTAAGGTTCCTAAGAGCACAGTGGTCTCCATAATCCTTAAATGGAAGAAGTTTAGGACAACCAGAATTCTTCCTAGACCTGGCTGTTCAGCCAAACTGAGCGGTTGTAAGAGAAGTGCCTTGGTGAGAGAGATGAATAAGAACACAAAGATCAATGTGACTGAGCTCCAGAGATTCATTAGAGAGATGGGAGAAAGTTCAGTCAACAATCACTACAGCCCTCCACCAGTCAGGGTTTTATGGCAGAGTGGCCTCACTGAACCCTCTCCTCAGAAAGAGGAACAAATATTCTCTGGTTTGATGAGACCAAGATTGGACTTTTTTTGCTTTAAATCTAAGAGGTGTGTGCTCATCACCTGCCAATACAATCCCAACAGTCAAACATGGTGGTGGCAGCATTATGCTATGGGGTGGTTTTCAGTTGCAGGGACAGGACGGCGGGTTTCAATTGAAGGAAAGATGCATGCAGCAAAGTACAGAGATGACCTGAAGGAAAACCTCTTGCAGAGTGCTAGGGACCTCAGACTGGGCCGAAGGTTACCTTCCAACAAAACAATGACCCTGAGCTAAAATAACAAGGAGTGGCTTGGGAACAACTCTGACCATTCTTTACTGGCCCAACAAGAACCCTCACCTAATCCCAAATAAGCATCTCTGGAGAGACCTGAAAATGGCCGTGCAGCAACTCTCACCATCCAACCTCTCAGAACTGTAGAAGATCTGTAAGGAAGAATAGCAGAGGATCCTCAAATCCAGGTGTGAAAAGCTTGTGGAATCATTCCCAAGAAGACTCATGTCTACACTAGCTCAACATGGTGCCTCTACTCAATACTGAGGAAAGGGTCTGAGTAGATATGTGATATTTCACTTTTTCTTTTTTAATAAATTTGTAAAAGTTTCTACATTTGTTTTTTTTCTGTCAAGATGGGGGGCTGAGTGTACATTAATGAGAAATAAGATGAGGAATTTTTATTTACGAAATGGCTGCAATGAAACAGTGCAAAATGTAAAGGGTTTTAAATACTTTCCTTACCCACTGTGTGTATGTGTATATAATTAAGTAAGTGTCTTGGAGCCTCTGGTTTATTTAAACAACACTGAATGACTTTACCCTAATATTAGCTTAATTTTGTATATATTAAATGATTGTTTAGGTAAGTATCCATTACTTTGTGCATATTGATCTTCTAACCTGAATAGACATATTTTATTATCTGATAAAGGATAATTGTGGCTTTATCTTTAACTAACTCAATAATCAGCTAATCCAAAGGGATCTGCTAACAGATTCAATAACACTGATGGTGACTGAACAATCTTGTCACAGTGAAGTGTTGCCAGTTGCCATCATGGAAGGGAACATGGAAGTTACAGACAAAGCGCTCCCTAGTGGCTAAGCATGATGTTGCTTTAAGGTTTTACAGGAGAACCAGGTTTCTAATTCAAGCTCTTTCTTCTCTTTAAGATCAAATTCGATAATCCACACCTGGAATCCCACTCTGCGACCACCGATGAAATAAAGGAGTGCTGTCGGGATATCAAAGTTCTGGGACGCAAAGAGCTCCGGTGGGTGCTGAGTTTGCACAACGTAGATGATGGATTCTGCTGTTGAAGCCATAATTAAGATGAATAAATGTTATTGTGAATTATCGAGTGGGCCAAAACCTTTCATTTCAGCATTTCATTTAGTTCTTTGCTTTGTAATAAAGTTGTTTTGCAAAAAATGATGCTATTTAAACAAAAACACATGTCGCCAAACAACTAGTTTGTTGAGATAGCATCTTTATATATATTAGTTTTTTTTATATGTACGAAAATACTATCTTGAAGTGGGTGTTAATGACCAGTTGATTTTTCAGTATCTTGCATATTAGAGGCTGTGATTTTTGGACACGGGTTGGATCCCTTTGCTGAGGTCTTACAGTCTTGAAAGTGCCGGAAATTAAGAGTTTATCTTCACAATCGGTGCTCTTTTTCCATAACCCAGAGAGCTTTTATATGAATTTTTTTTCAGATTAACTTGATTTGTTTTAAAAAAGTAATAATTAAAACGATCTCCTTTGTTTTGACCTTTAGAACCTTTTTATTTTTAAACTGGATGAACATTTCTTCAATCATGCTTGGGTTAAATGTTCAGACATTTTGTTAGATTTTTTGCTTATTTGGGTTTTGGTGAAATCAGTGCATTAATTATGCAGTGAATTATTTTAGTTTTTTAGACCAATCCAGTCCCGATATTGAAGTTTATTTTTTTCTATCTTACCAGAGGATCTTACGATGCCATAAAAGTTAAATTACCGTTTTCCGCACTGCCAAAAAAGAAGCCCGCTTTAGCTCTGCACCGTTTGGGATTTTTAGGAGAGTTTGAACCTGACGAATGCCTGTAGTGAAATTTTAATATTTCTTGGTTATTTTTTAAAATATCTGGAAATGTTTTAAATGGTGAATTGTATGGTTTGTAGAAAATAAGCCTGAAAATGGAGCCTACGGTTCAGAAAGGGATCACCTGCAGAGTCAGTTTCAAGCCTAAAACCATAAACTGTCTGATCTTTTCTACTAATTCACCTTAGAATGAGAAAGCTATTGGATGCTGTCTCTATTGAAATGCAACATGAGGTGATGCAGCAATTTCTTTTCCCTCTGCTGCAGCATTAAGTTTGTTTTTGTGTATATCACAGTCTGCTGCTGAGCTGGAGGGCAAAGCTTCGAAGATATTTGGCAAAGAAGCTGAAGGAGGAGGCCAAACAACTCGACCAGGAGATCAGGTAAACACTAAGAAATGGGTTTTTGATGAAACGTGTCTGAGAGGATTTCTAACCACTCTGCCTGGTTTTTAGTTTAAGCTCAGATGAGGAAGGCATGGACTCGGAAGACGAACCTCAGACGAAAAAGGAGGAAAATGAGGATGATGATGAGGAGGAAGAAATGGATAGAAAGCTGGCAGACCTGAAAGCTCAGGAGGTGGCAGAGCTCAAACGGTTTGTCTTTATTGAAATGCAGTTTCATTTCAGCAAATTTTGCTTCATGGATTTCACAGGTGATATTTGATTTTTGATGCTTAATCATCAGGAAGAAGAGGAAGCTACTGAAGGAGAGGAGGAAGCAGAGGGAGAGAGTGGAGCTGAAGATGGACCTACCAGGGGTCTCTATCGCTAGCAACACAGACTCGTCCCTGTTTTCCTTGTCTTCTCTGAAGAAGCAGCAGGTGAAGACGGCTTGTAGCTCACAATCAAACAGAAACCTCTACTACTAATGAGACTGTTTCTCACCTCTTATTTCCACTTTGAAAGTGATTTATATTCCTTGGGTTTAATTAAATCCTCCTTTGACGTGTTTCCATCAGGTGCTGACTGACATCTCCAAGGGAGACATGGAGGCTGCAGGCGATCTAGGCGATGGAGAAGATGACATCCACCTTTCAGATCCGGAAGATGATGCAGATGAGATTTCCCTGGCATCTGATTTAGATGAAGAGGATTTAGAAGAAGTGGATCAGAGACAGAAAGAACTGAAAAAGAAAGCACCAAAGAAGTAAGTGATGGTTTAAAAATAGGAGAAGCCTCAGGATAGATGGATGTTGGAGCGATCAATCAGGTTCAGTCTGTAAAGTGCAAGGAAGGAATCTAATATATAGAGAGAATGGATTACCATCTAATAATATATGATTAGCCTGAAAATTATAAATGTAATCAGAGTGTCTTATAGTTATTGACGCCGTTCTTTTCATCCCTTTGACTGGCAGTGTGCAGGAAGCTCAGGGCTGTGAGGGGGACTTGGCTTCATGAAGCCAGGGAAAACACTCCTCCCTCTGGGATTTTGTACGTGGTTGACGTTTGATGTTGGTTTTGTAACGTTGAATCCAAAATCAGAAAGCGAACAGTCTGCTGATTTCCAAATAAAAAAAAGCAACAAAAAAAAGGGAAACAAAAAATAACCTTTATCACTTTTTCAATTCTAAAATAAAAACAAAAAAACAACCTTTTTCCGGTTCAGTTCCCCCTCTCTGTTTTGTTTTAGTAGTTACCCAGAATCAGTCATAAAAGTGGAAAAGAGAGACTTTGCACCATTGATTTTGGTCAGGATTATTTTCATTTCTTTTTAGTTATTTTTGCTAATTTGGCGATATTTCAGTGTCAATATACAGAAATATTGTACTAAAATAAAATGCCACTAAGATCTGATGAGCTGCCTCGAGGCTCCCACCTCCTGGTCAAGAGTGAAACCGTTTCCAGATTAGCTGCGTAGCTCCGCTGATCTGTGGGAGTCATTGTCATTTATTCCTTTTGTGTTCGTAGAGCCGGTTTATTGCCAGAATGTCGTACATGCATTAATGATGATGATGATAATGAGCGCGATTCGGGGTAGTCTGGGAGCGTATAAATGTGTTCTAGTATTGTACCATGTCCATAGTAATGCAGACCCACTGCATGAAGCTGATGAGGGGAGAGCTGAATCGGAAAAGTTATTTTTTATGGTGGAATAAAAAAATATTCTTTGATTCCTGATTAAGGATTTCAAAACTAAATAACAAAATTGGGCAAGTTTACCCCCATTTATCACTCGATTACTTTTTGTGATTTTTTTTTTTTTTTTTAGGTTTCCTATTACAAAACCCAAATCGAATGTCCAGCATGTACAGGGACTCTGCAGCCACATTGTTTTGAATCTTATTAAAGACTTACACGGCTGGTCTGGTCCAGGGATTGGTAAATGTCAAGAGGAGAAAAAATATAAAACTCCTTAAGTTGGTTGGGTTTGCTTCCTAGAACAGGACCAAAGCAGATCATCTATCATTTTCTCCTGATCCCTCTGCCAGCTTATTTAGGGGAACCAGAACTGTAGGCTCATACCCTACTCTACTTAATGCCACAAGACTTTTTAAAACTCCTCTCAATTTTCCATTTGTGGCCTTACTTTATTTTTTCTGTTCTTGCTCCTCATCATTCTTGTTTGGGCACCGATCCAACGAATGGTTTTCAAGCTTTAGAAAGCAGAGCCAGGCATGGGAAAAGACCTTCCAAACATTTGATGTGGAAGTCCTTTAACTTTTTAAAGTCTCTGTAAACTTATATAGGAGTCACTGTCTCCACTGCTAGGTATTCAGGAGTTAATGTCAGGTTTTTATTTCATAGTTCTTTTTTCTGGTAGCTTATAAAGTCTGAAATAAGGGAAATATACAGGCCTGTGTTGATGGAGAGTCACCACTCCTGTTTGAATTATCCAGAGTGAAGTTCCCAGAGGAACCCGAGGAGGAAGAGGAGCAGGACGGTGGCTTGCTGGTTGAACTGGAAGGAAAGGATGAAAAGATGGAGCATGAGACGAACCTGTGGTTCAGCAAGGTTTGTCCGTGCAGACTCTTCTCGTTCAACTAGTGCCGCTTCCTCACAAATTCCCTTCATGTCACCCTTTGATTGGCTGTTTGACTGTTTTAGATCTTAATGGTTCGGTTTTTCCCTTTTCGTTCCTCCTTCAGGGCATTTTTTCAGAAATTGACCTTGAAGCGGATGCAGAGAGTGAGCTCAAACAGACGGAGTTGCTCCAAAGCAAACAGTCAGGTAACCTTTTTTATTAATCCTTCGATTCTCAGGAAATCTGGTGTAAGATTGCTGGGGAGTGGCGGCCTAGTGGTTAGGGCATAGAGCTTGGAATGCTGAGGTTGTGAGTTTGAAACCTACTCCCATAGACTGCCGCTATGGCTCTCTGAGTCAGACCCTTAACCCCACACTGCTCCTGGGTGTCCCACGATGGCGGCCTACTGCTCCCCAAAGCAGCTCCCCATTTACTCTGAGACGGCATAAGTGGGATCAAAGGGAAAAGGTCATTGAGGTCAATTGGAATTTGCGCTAAAAGGAAAATCACCCCCTTGTTAAAATAATAAATTAATAGTGATTAACCATATCTTTACTGTGCAGTTTTTAATGGCCACATTCAGATCTGATTACTCCAGGTTTGAGTCAGGAAACTACTTCAGTGGAACTGTCTAACAGCAAGATGTGGGCTAAGAATTACAGATTGACTGAAGGTCGACATCTATTATTTGACATCAGTCTAACGGCACCCTGATATGAGCTCCCATTTTTCTTTCTCCATTTACATAAAAAAAGGAACATGATTAAAAGCCAGTGTTACACAAGGTTCAGATATGCTTGGTTTTATTCTACTTATTACCAAATCGAGCTAAACGTTAACAATAGATGGTAAATGGAGGGAGCTGCATGACATTGTATGTGATCTCAGGGCATGGCTGCTGAACACACCTATGAATCAGCCAACCCATGCATGTGTGGGCTAATGCTTATAAAGGGAAATATTGCTAATATCAGGCCGAAATGTTGGCTGTCAGTCTGTCTCTACTAAAAATAAAAAACATTTCTGATCTGCCTTTAATATGTTGGCAGTAAAGTGACAACAAAGTTACATTATGTTCAAGAACTGGGGCAGTGAGGCAGATTCTGATGCTAAAGCTGGAAGGGAAACTCGACCGATGACGCCATAAGTGTGAGAAATGAAGGAATTTGTCATGAGACATGTAGGAATAGGTACGCTTATGAAGGCTTAAGGCTGGGAAATTATGGCATCGATTGGTGCGAGATCCCTGCTAACCAGAGAGCATCAGTTTGTGATGCTCCATATCACTTAGTTTATTGGGGTGGGGGGAAAATTCCTGAACACCAGTAGGTCCACTGGTGACCTTGAGTGGCGTTTTCAAAGTCTGGAATTTAATCCATAATTAATTATTACCTTAAAAGGTTTGTTCATGTTTGAAAACTGTCTAATATGGCTGCATTGAAACAATTTTGTAAAAATGGACCACAATGGTTTAATTGGTAGTTTGATGTAGCAGATGATAGTATTTGTATTTACTTTTGTTATATATTTCTACTAAAACTATTTAAATGAAACAAAAGCCAATTGCATGGAGCAGTAAGGTAAATCTACAAATGAAAATGTTATCCTTTTTTTTTTTTTTTTTTTTTTAAGGAAAAGGAAAAAAGAGGAAAGCTGAAGAAGAGTACAATGAAAAAGAAGATGAGGAAGAAGACGAAGAGGAAGCTGCTCATGCAGGTGTGGAAACTCCAGGACCTTCCCAGGAAGCTGCAGAGGACAGCGACTCTGATGACAGCAGCGAGGATGAAAAGTAAATCCCTGCTTCTTTTAGACTCTCTGCTGCATTGTGTCCAAACTGTGCAGTGAGTCAAATTACACTGAAGCTTAAATTCTGAAGTGCGGAAAAGGTTTTTTAAAGCACTGATAAAGCAGTCGGATTTCTTTTGTTCCAGTGAGATAATAAGAATGAAGGGAGCCAGGGGGCCTGGTGGGGCATCAGCAGACGCTGAAGGTGAAGACTTCCAGGTTGTTCCTGTTGAAAGCACCAGTGAGTATAAAGGCCTGGACATACTGTACAAGAACAGGAACAAATAAATGTTCTTTTGGGTGGTGATAACAGTATTTTTGTCCTGGAAATGTAATACTTAACACAAACTTACGTTGCAGAAATGTTCACATCTTTGAAGTTTCCTCCTTCTGTAGAATTTATATAATAGATGTCAAGAGTAAAAATAAAAAAATAAAGTTCTATGCATAAGACGTAAGCAGACTGAAAGAACCCCAAAACTGAAAACCTTTTATTTACTTCAATGTTCTGAAATTTTCAATTTGTTCTTCTTTTGGTTTCCAGGTAAGAAAGCCCGGATCCTGAACGCAGAGGGCCTGGCCATCGGCTGTGAGATTGCCACATCAAAGAAGAGAGCCAGGGACCTGGTGGACAACTCTTTCCACAGGTCAATGTCTGGTTTTGGAAGACATTTTTACGAAGTCATTAAGAACCCTAACAGAAAGAGGAGCAAACAGAAGCTGCTCCTGTGTCTGCCGCCCTCTGATTTTTGCTAAATGGTATGATCCTGTACCCTTACATGTGATTGTTTCCCCCTTTGTAGGTTTGCCTGCTCTGACGAGCCCTGGGAAGTTCCCGAGTGGTTCCTGGATGATGAACGTAAACACAGAAAAAAGCCTGTGCCTGTCACCAAGGAGATGCTGGAGGAATACAAACAGAAATGGAAAGAGATCAATGCCCGGCCAATCAAACGTGTGGCTGAAGCTAAGGCCAGGAAGAAGAGGAGGGTAAGAGAAACATGCTTGTTTATATGAAACTAGACGACATCCACAGAGAGATCCAGATCATTGTGATTTAAAGGATGATTTAGAGAATGGACAAAAAATGAAATCCCGGTCTGTTGGATTGTTCTAGATTTTGAAGAAGATGGAGCAAGCCAAGAAGAAGGCAGAGGCTGTCGTCAACACTGCCGACATCTCAGAAAGAGAGAAGGTAGCTCAGCTGAAGAGGTAAGTCAGACTGAGGCTGCATTGTTTGCTGGTTCATACCAACTTGGTTAGAATAAAATACTGATGTTTTTTTTTGCCTTTCTGTCAGTATCTACAAAAAAGCTGGCCTGAAAAAGGAAAAGAGAGAAGTGACGTACGTAGTCGCCAAAAAAGGAGTTGGGAAGAAGGTTAGACGGCCTCGTGGAGTGAAGGGACTCTTCAAAGTGGTGGATGGACGCATGAAAAAGGATATGCGGGGGGTGCAGAGGAAGGAACAGCGAACGAAAGGAGGAAAAGGAAGGCAGTCCAAGGGGGGTAAAGGGAAGAGAGGAAAATAAATATGAACTAATTCAATTTTGCTGATCGGGATCAAGCAGAGCAGCTTGAGTTAATTTCTTAAATACATAAAGTGATTAAAGTGTATTTAAGCCGTGGGGACTTTGGACCTGTCCTGGTGGCGTCGATGCTGGTGCTTCCTGTACATCTTTCTAAAGATGCTGTTTTTTCTCACAGACCTGTAACTCTGTACTAACAGTATATGTACTCCTAATGTTTTGTAAATATTAACTGGACAAAACCAAAAAGTTTTTTTTGTTTTGTTTTTTCTTCAGAAAGATCTTTAAGTTTAAACAGTTTATTCAAAAGTTTTGAAAAGTATGAAAGTTATAGTGCTGCCTCGCAGGGTTTTATTGAACAACTTGATTCATTGCAGTGAAGCAAGAAACGTCCGTTTATGGAGTAGCTCCAAAATCACACTGACCTTGAACTGCACATACACATTGCTGAAGTTTAAGGGATAGCTCATCTGATTTTCA